GGTGGTTTGCTAGGAATCCTGCAGCATCTGGTTTTTGGAATTATATTTGCACGCGATTTATGCTATCCTTAACGTTTGACGACCTTTTTCATTATTATATCACAATAGCGGACAAGCAATGGAATTGACATTTGGAAAGAGGGTGCGGTTCATGTTGAGAATAAAAAATAATGTTTGCTTGGAAGAAAAACCTGTTCAAAATGGAGTGTGTAAACAATATCCTTTGGAATAGTAGCAATTTAAAAAAAGTAGAATAATGTAAATAAGATTTGAACTGTAATTGTAGAGTTCAAGTTTTATTTAAGTTGGGTTTTTTTATCAGAAGAATGTTTTGTCGGGCTATAGTCTAGTTTGTTGTCTGAACCATAATCTGAACTTTAATCTAGTCTAGACTTAAATCTAGACTATAGTCTGGTCTGTTATCTAGTCTATAGTTTGGATTATAGTCTAATCTGTAGTATGTATTATAGTCTAGTCTATAGCCTAGTATATAGTCTGAACTATAGTGTAGTCCATGGTCTGGACGATAGAGTAGTCCATATTCTGGACTATAATCCAGTCTATAGCCTGGCCTATTGTCTAGTCTATTGCCTGGACTATAGTCTGGACTATTGTTTATTCTATAGTCTGGACTATAGTCTAGTCCATAATATGTACTATAGTGTAGTCTATATTCCAGTCCATAGTCTGGACTATAGTCTAGTCTATAGTATGAACTATAGTCTGGACTATATTATTGTCTATAGTCTGAAGTCTAGTCTATAGTCTGGACTATAGTGTGGTCCATAGTTTGGACTATAGTCCAGTCTAGTCTATAGTATGGACTATAGTGCGGTCTATAGTCTAGTCTATAGTCTGGACTATAGTGCGGTCTATAGTTTGGACTATAGTCTAGTCTATAGTATGGACTATAGTCCAGTCTATAGTCAGAACTATAGTCTTTAGTCAGGACTCTAGTCTTGTGTATAGTCTGAACTATATTCTAGTCTATAGTCTTGCCAATGGTCTTGCCTATAGTCTATAGTCTGGACTATAGTCTACAGTCTGGACTATAGTCTATAGCCTTGACTATATTCTTGCCTATAGTCTAGTCTATTCTAGACTATAGCGTAGTCTGGACTATAGTATAGTATAGTATATAGTCTGGACTACAGCGTAATCTATAGTTTAGTCTATAGTCAGGACTATAGTCTAGTCTATAGTATGGACTAAAGTTTCTTTAATTCTGAGTTTGAGACCCTTTATTGCAATTCTTTACACTATTTGTTAATTCCAACAACTATAAATTCCAGTTTTCTTTGCCAAAGTCCTTTTACCGGCAAAAATATAATTCCATGATTTACGACCCCCGTTTTTTTTCAATAAAAACCTTTTATTTCCAACACCCTAACCATTAACACTGCTGCCGGGGTTTTAATGCAACTAGAATGGGAAACCCTTTTACAATAAGAGAGAGCGCTCTCTGAAAATAAACTACAGTTATCTCTTTTCTTTTAACGCAAACGAAATGTGTAAACAAAACAAAATGAAAGAGATAACTGTATTGCCTTGGAAATGAGCAGCCATTTTGGAATTTTCTTTTAGCAAAACGAAAATGAGCTAAAAGAATGAACAAAAATTTAAGAGAATCATTTTATAACAAACGTTCGTTGGCAGCAGACGCATTTTAACGTTGTAAATGAATCTTAAAATAATTTCAATAATTTTATATTAAATAAATGTTTTTAGTAAAAATAACTTATTTGTTGACACTTTTTTCTATAATTAATTAAAATTTTTAACAAAAACTTGTGTAAAATAAATAAAAACTTGGCAAAAATGTTTAAAATTAAAATGTTTAACTTCCTTTCCCCGGCTCTATTACTAGGCAACTGTGGCAACAATGCAAAATTTTACAATGTAAACTTAACAGAAAAAAGCAAACAAACAAAAACAATTTTCTCCCCCTAAAAACTCTTGTTCTTACGGTCATAACAGCTAGAAAAAAACAAACCCTTAAAAACAGAAAATGCCAAAAAAAAAAAACAACAACCCTTAATAGACAAAAAGCGGGTGGGTGTTTTTTTTCTCTACTTACTTTTGCTTTGTTGTAGTTGTTGTTGTTGTGTAGTTGCTATTATAAATTTTTCGCTAGATTTTTATTATCAAACTCTCTTCTTTTTCCAATCTCCCACAATTTGTTGTGAAATGTGTTGTTTGTGTGTGTTTAAATTTGTTGTTTTTGTTAGTATGAGTTTGCGTGTGTTGTAAAATCAGCAGACGCAGACGTTGTTAAGTGTTGTTTTACTAGGTTTTTGCTGTTGTTGTTGTAGTTGCTTATTTTTAATTTTTGTTAGACAAAAATTATGTTTTGTTGTTGTAGTTGTTTTATTTTTGTATGTAAACTATGATGGCGGACGTAGTCTTTTTACGTTTGTTTTTTGGTTCACTTCTAATTTCTTTTCTCAATTTTCCTTTTTTTTTTTTGCTTTTTTGTACTTAACCCACGGGGAGTGTTCTTTGCTTCTTCTTTTGCTTTTTTCACTATGAAAATCGATTTTATTGATTTTTTTTTTCAACTTATTTTGTATAATTTAATACAAAATGTTTATTCTTTCGCAAATTAACTAAATTTTTTCGTTATTACTTCATTAATATTTTTTTCTTTGTTATTCTCTTTTGCTTTTATTATTCTTATAATGAGTAGTGTTTTTTTGTTAATTATTTTAGCAAAAAATTTCAGCTATTAGTTGTTACACAATTATTTAAAAATTTTCTTTTTTTCTTGATTTATTAAATTTAATAATTTTTCTAATAGTTTGTGTTGTAAATTAGTTGGATGTGTTCTAATTTTTTTCTATTTAATTTTCTTGTATTTTATAGATACAGATACACTTTTTTCGGTTTTCCTTTGCAGTTTATCTTCTATATTACTTTTTTTGTTTTATCGTTAAAAACAAGTTCGCTTTGCAAATTTGTTTTTAATTATTTATAATTATATAAAGTGTAAAACTTTTTTTCTTTATTTTATTAAATAATTTAATAAATACTTTATTTTATAATAAATTTTTAATTATTTTCTTTTTTTGTCACAACGTTTAAAATGCGTCTGCTGCCAACGAACGTTTGTTATAAAATGATTCTCTTAAATTTTTGTTCATTCTTTTTAGCTCATTTTCGTTTTGCTAAAAGAAAATTCCAAAATGGCTGCTCATTTCCAAGGCAATACAGTTATCTCTTTCATTTTGTTTTGTTTACACATTTCGTTTGCGTTAAAAGAAAAGAGATAACTGTAGTTTATTTTCAGAGAGCGCTCTCTCTTATTGTAAAAGGGTTTCCCATTCTAGTTGCATTAAAACCCCGGCAGCAGTGTTAATGGTTAGGGTGTTGGAAATAAAAGGTTTTTATTGAAAAAAACGGGGGTCGTAAATCATGGAATTATATTTTTGCCGGTAAAAGGACTTTGGCAAAGAAAACTGGAATTTATAGTTGTTGGAATTAACAAATAGTGTAAAGAATTGCAATAAAGGGTCTCAAACTCAGAATTAAAGAAACTTTAGTCCATACTATAGACTAGACTATAGTCCTGACTATAGACTAAACTATAGATTACGCTGTAGTCCAGACTATATACTATACTATACTATAGTCCAGACTACGCTATAGTCTAGAATAGACTAGACTATAGGCAAGAATATAGTCAAGGCTATAGACTATAGTCCAGACTGTAGACTATAGTCCAGACTATAGACTATAGGCAAGACCATTGGCAAGACTATAGACTAGAATATAGTTCAGACTATACACAAGACTAGAGTCCTGACTAAAGACTATAGTTCTGACTATAGACTGGACTATAGTCCATACTATAGACTAGACTATAGTCCAAACTATAGACCGCACTATAGTCCAGACTATAGACTAGACTATAGACCGCACTATAGTCCATACTATAGACTAGACTGGACTATAGTCCAAACTATGGACCACACTATAGTCCAGACTATAGACTAGACTTCAGACTATAGACAATAATATAGTCCAGACTATAGTTCATACTATAGACTAGACTATAGTCCAGACTATGGACTGGAATATAGACTACACTATAGTACATATTATGGACTAGACTATAGTCCAGACTATAGAATAAACAATAGTCCAGACTATAGTCCAGGCAATAGACTAGACAATAGGCCAGGCTATAGACTGGATTATAGTCCAGAATATGGACTACTCTATCGTCCAGACCATGGACTACACTATAGTTCAGACTATATACTAGGCTATAGACTAGACTATAATACATACTACAGATTAGACTATAATCCAAACTATAGACTAGATAACAGACCAGACTATAGTCTAGATTTAAGTCTAGACTAGATTAAAGTTCAGATTATGGTTCAGACAACAAACTAGACTATAGCCCGACAAAACATTCTTCTGATAAAAAAACCCAACTTAAATAAAACTTGAACTCTACAATTACAGTTCAAATCTTATTTACATTATTCTACTTTTTTTAAATTGCTACTATTCCAAAGGATATTGTTTACACACTCCATTTTGAACAGGTTTTTCTTCCAAGCAAACATTATTTTTTATTCTCAACATGAACCGCACCCTCTTTCCAAATGTCAATTCCATTGCTTGTCCGCTATTGTGATATAATAATGAAAAAGGTCGTCAAACGTTAAGGATAGCATAAATCGCGTGCAAATATAATTCCAAAAACCAGATGCTGCAGGATTCCTAGCAAACCACCCGAGACAGACGTACGGCTAGTTCTCTCGTTGGCTCTCTTTGCGCAAGTTTGGTTGGCATGGAAGCGTGAGTGTGGTTACAACTTCCGTTTTTTGTGCAGCATATTTTTGTTGTTGTTGTTGGTGTAATTAAGTAAGGGATGTAAACTATTTACAGCAGATATACTTACAACAGAAAGTTGTTTTTGTTTTCGTTACGAATGAATTAAAACAAATCAAGGAAAGTACAACAGTCGCACGTTTATACCTGTTTTGCATAATAATAAATGGAGAGGGGTTGTTTGCCCTTTTTTATTATGAGCTATAATTGGTAAGGGTCGTTGGAGTGAGGATAAGGTATCCGAAAATTGTTTATATATTCAGATGATTTGGATATAAATGGCCTAGTCAATAATCCAGAGTATAGTAGTCTAATCGATAATCTAATCCATGAATGGACTATATATTAGACAATACTCAGGGATATAGACAATGTTACTGTTGCAGTATTACTCATTCTATTCCTATGTAATATCTTGAAATAGTAGCGACATCGCTTATCCGCCTATGATCAACAATTTCCTACTTTCTTTTATTCGGTAGTGTTACTTTGTTTACTTCCGGCGCTTTTTCTATCCCTTCATTCTATTTAAGAGTTTGTGTGTGTGTTTTAGTGCTTTATATATAAAAACTTGAACGACTTTTGTCTGATTTTTATGTTTAAGTTGCATATAAATGAACTTTTTGCATGTCTAGTTTTAACACCCTTATTCTGATCACAACCATTTTTATGTTTCGAGAGGGGGTGTTGTAGTTAAGGGAAACTTTTATTTCATGATAATGTGGTTATGGCATAAAAATAAAGTTTAAGTTGGAATTTCTAATAAGATTTTAATAAAATAAAACTATAATGGGAAATCTGTAGGAAGACTGGACTATAGACTAGATTATAGTTCAGACTATATGAAAAACCTGATTATAGTTTAAACTATAGATATAGTCAAGACTATAGGCTAGACCACATGATAGACTATAGACTAGACTATAGACTAGACTATAGACTAGGCTATAGACTAGACTATAGACTAGACTATAGACTAGACTATAGACTAGACTATAGACTAGACTGTAGACTAGACTATAGACTAGACTATAGACTAGACTATAGACTAGACTATAGACTAGACTATAGACTAGACTATAGACTAGACTATAGACTAGACTAGACTAGACTATAGACTAGACTATAGACTAGACTATAGACTAGACTATAGACTAGACTATAGACTAGACTATAGACTAGACTATAGACTAGACTATAGACTAGACTATAGACTAGACTATAGACTAGACTATAGACTAGACTATAGACTAGACTATAGACTAGACTATAGACTAGACTATAGACTAGGCTATAGACTAGACTATAGACTAGACTATAGACTAGGCTATAGACTAGACTATAGACTAGACTATAGACTAGACTATAGACTAGACTATAGACTAGACCATAGACTAGGCTATAGACTAGACTATAGACTAGACTATAGACTAGACTATAGACTAGACTATAGACTAGACTATAGACTAGACTATAGACTAGACTATAGACTAGACTATAGACTAGACTATAGACTAGACTATAGACTAGACTATAGTCTATAGTCTAGTCTATAGTCTAGTCTATAGTCTAGTCTATAGTCTAGTCTATAGTCTAGTCTATAGTCTAGTCTATAGTCTAGACTATAGTCTAGTCTATAGTCTAGTCTTTAGTCTAGTCTATAGTCTAGTCTATAGTCTAGTCTATAGTCTAGTCTTTAGTCTAGTCTATAGTCTAGTCTATAGTCTAGTCTATAGTCTAGTCTATAGTCTAGACTATAGACTAGACTATAGACTAGACTATAGACTAGACTATAGACTAGACTATAGACTAGACTATAGACTAGACTATAGACTAGACTATAGACTAGACTATAGACTAGACTATAGACTAGACTATAGACTAGACTATAGACTAGACTAAAGACTAGACTATAGACTAGACTATAGACTAGACTATAGACTAGACTAAAGACTAGACTATAGACTAGACTATAGTCTAGACTATAGACTAGACTATAGACTAGACTATAGACTAGACTATAGACTAGACTATAGACTAGACTATAGACTAGACTATAGACTAGACTATAGACTAGACTATAGACTAGACTATAGACTAGACTATAGACTAGACTATAGACTAGACTATAGATAATAATTTGTAATTATTATAAAGAGCGGTTTAATAACACGACCGAACAAAACCAGAGTTGGAACTCTAACTATAGACTAGACTATAGACTAGATAGACTAGACTATAGACTAGACTATAGACTAGACTATAGAACTAGACTTAGACTAGCCTATAGACTAGACTATAGACTAGACTATAGACTAGACTATAGACTAGACCTATAGACTAGACTATAGACTAGACTACAGACTAGACTATAGACTAGACTATAGACTAGACTATAGACTAGACTATAGACTAGACTATATACTAGACTATAGACTAGACTATAGACTAGACTATATAGACTAGACTATAGACTACACTATAGACTAGACTATCGACTAGACTATCGACTAGACTATAGACTAGACTATAGACTAGACTATAGACTATACTATAGACTAGACTATAGACTAGATACTAGACTAGACTAGACTAGACTATAGACTAGACTATAGACTATACTATAGACTAGACTATAGACTAGACTATAGACTAGACTATAGACTAGACTATAGACTAGACTATAGACCTAGACTGACTAGACTATAGACTAGACTATAGACTAGACTATAGACTAGACTATAGACTAGACTATAGACTAGACTATAGACTAGACTATAGACTAGACTATAGACTAGACTATAGACTAGACTATAGACTAGACTATAGACTAGACTATAGACTAGACTATAGACTAGACTATAGACTAGACTATAGACTAGACTATAGACTAGACTATAGACTAGACTATAGACTAGACTATAGACTAGACTATAGACTAGACTATAGACTAGACTATAGACTAGACTATAGACTAGACTATAGACTAGACTATAGACTAGACTATAGACTAGACTATAGACTAGACTATAGACTAGACTATAGACTAGACTATAGACTAGACTATAGACTAGACTATAGACTAGACTATAGACTAGACTATAGACTAGACTATAGACTAGACTATAGACTAGACTAGACTAGACTATAGACTAGACTATAGACTAGACTATAGACTAGACTATAGACTAGACTAGACTATAGACTAGACTATAGACTAGACTATAGACTAGACTATAGACTAGACTATAGACTAGGACTATAGACTAGACTATAGACTAGACTATAGACTAGACTATAGACTAGACTATAGACTAGACTATAGACTAGACTATAGACTA